TGTGTGTGTGTGTGTGTGTGTATGTGTGTGTTTACCTATCTAACTCTACTTTAACTCGTTTCCTGCTTTTTTTTCCCCCAAAGATATTAGTGTGTGCTTGTTTTCGAATAGCTACCTTAGAAAATATTAACATAACATCTACAACAAGAACAACAGGAACAGCAGGACAACAACTCAAGAAAAAGAGATCATGCAAAGTGGCTAAAGATCAAAAGATATACACACAGATCTACTTAACGTACTCACCAGTGGCAATCACAAAAGTGAGCGAAATGCTGCAATATATCCAAGCCTCCATTATCAGCGTCCACGCCTCCATGTCCACTTTCTTGATGACGTCACGTTTGGCACACCAAATTAGAATTCCAGGTGAACATGAAACACAAGTCGACTCCCTATTCTATTTTAAGAGATGACACTTCAAATCACTCTTGACACTGTAAAAATTTCGTTCGGAAACGTGTATTGTTTTCCGAAAGCACTGATAACAAATGAATTGTTGTCTACTGTGCGGACAAGGGTTAGTGTCGCGGGGAAGAGAATCTAGTTCAACAACCTGTCAGCAGTGAACAAAAAGCCATAGATATAAAAGCTGATTTATCACTCTAGAGAAATACTATGTAGCACTGACCCGGGACAGAAAAATGTCAGATTTTTGTCAGATTTTTAACCTCAAAATTAGTCGGAATTTATGATTGCTGTTCACACTTGCACCGGGTCCAAATAATCAATAAAACTCAACCCAAAACTTAGTGTTTTCATTTTCATTTGTACTGCTAGAGTTAATCTAACTTTCACGAATGGTTCTATCATACAAGTATACTTTGAGAAATCCACAAAACTATACTCTGATTATTTTAACACTTTTCTTGAAACAAACAATTGTTTATGAGCAAGATACGTGTCGTTAATTTCATTTCCTTCAAACCCCCCCCCCCTCTCTCTTTCCCTCTCTCTCTCTCTTTATCTCTCTGTCTTTCTCTCTCTCTGTCTGTCTTTCTTACTGTCTTGGCAGCCTTTCAGGACAAAATTCGCCTCGCGTGATGCAAATTAGTCGTGGATGAATACGGAAAAACAAAGACACCCTTGATCGCGACAAAACGCTGGAGGTATTTTTACAACAGCAAGGACAGCAAAACGAACAATGCTGTGGTTAATAATGAAGTATGAAACCATGGTATTCTATCACGCACGAGCTACAATGAATCATTTTCCGTTGAATAATAGCCACGAAATCGATTCTTCCATAACAATTGCTTTGTTTGTTATTGTTTGGTTTTTGTTCTTTTATCTTACTCTTCTGGGATCTTTTTTTCTCCTCCGCCCAAACTAAAGGCGTTTATCTTGTTAATTTCTACATTATTCTCCGTTTCCTTTTCATGCCTTGAACTCAATGGAATGAAATATTGGCAATTGGCAGCTAATATGCCAAAGGGATTTGGTATGAGATCATTAAACCCCAAGAGGTCTAGGCTTTCAGGACGGATATACACAGCAAAGATAGCGTTGGTGACCCTTCCTTAGAAGGAGCAATAGACTTGATAAAGACTCAAACCATCTCCGATTTTTGCGGTTGTTCCTGTAACTGTTACCGATTCAGCCAATCGAAAAATGTCATTCTCATTGTTTTTCTTTGGGTTTTATTTTTGTTTGCTTGGGGTGTTTTTGTTTGATTTATTTTGTTTGTTTGTTGGTTCCAATTGATCATTTCCATTAAATCTCATTATCAAGCCGCCAGGAAGCATGGCTGTCGACTTTGAAAAAAAACAACCTTTTCATCCTATTGCAGGTACATGGTTCTGTTTTAAGAAAAGAAAAAAAATCCACTTTTGTCAAAAAAAATACGAGTCAGAGGTTATTATCAGTCGCTATAATATATTCTTTCTCTTTTCAAATATAGATATAATTATTTAATATTTTGCATCAATTACCCTTCTTCCCAATGAACAATGTTAATGCCTGATACTCTAATCTGGATTAATCTAAGTTATTGTATCCACTTCATGTTCATTCAGCCTTTGCCTTTTCAATTGCTATCACTGACTAGAATGAAACTAATTCTACCGCAACTTTTTTGTGCTTTCATTTGTTGTTTATTTTCCTCCGCTGATCCAGTGATAAATTCGGTGCCACCTAAAATATATTCTTTTAAATCCTCTCACACACACGTTAAAAAGAACACACGCACTAAAAAAAAATAACCAACACGCGAACACACAAAAACCACCCAACACACGTTGTTAAAATGCCAGCGGTCCTTCCGTCGTGTGTGAGCGCTGGGCGCGTGACCAAAGGAACGTCCAACTGCCGAAGACTGATCGCTCTGAGCCGTGACCTGAAAGAAAAGAGAAGAAAAAACCCAACTAATTAATATTCTCTGGACAGAGCCTCAGGCTCATTAATCATGTCAGTTCTAGTCAGACGTGGGCGAGCAGAGGCACAATTCTCCCAATGCTACTTCCAGTCTTCTTGTTTTCTCAATTATTCTAATTTTACTTTTATTTTTGGTAATAAAAAGGTAGTGACTCATTCTTTACCCCCCCAATAAAATAACATAAAATAAAATAATGAAAAGAATATATTTTCATACGAAATCGCTCACGTTCCTTAACAAGAATATATGTATGGGAGGCAAGCAAACAGTTGTAGACACCCACTCAATATTTAACTTACTGGCTCATTTACTCGTAAGTATGGACCGACTCACTTGCTCTTTTCTAAAACTCTTTTTATGCTGTCTGCTAATGCCTCCCCCCCCACCCCCCCCCCCCCCCAACCCCTGAAAAAAATCATAAAGTTAAGCGTGGCAAATAAAATGAAATGGAAATTTTAACACACACAAAAATGAAGTTAATTTAAATAAACAGATCAAATTCCAAACAATTTTAAAACAAAAATTAAATTCCGGGTTCCGTTTTTTCCCTGTGATTCTTGAAATGTGCAGATCCGTATCATGAGTCAACGAATCAACGGAACGAGCACGTGGTCACATTAATCCGTTAATCCCAAGGCAGATGGCGAGGGGCATGTCTGGACTCCCCAAAGCGACCGTAATGATCACCGGGACAGGGACTGACCAAGTGTCAGGCTAATGACTACGCAAATCTCGGGGTCTAGAGCGAAAACAAGCCATCTACACTGTCCATACGATACAGAAGAACCCTTTTTACTCGAAGTCTTCAAGATCTCGGACCGGTACCATCCATCAGGGGAAGACGGAGCGAGTGGGGGATAAACTCGCAGGTATACCCAGGGATTTCACTCAGGCTCTCTGAGCTGCTGCACAGAGCGCATTCTGCACTGTGTGTACCCGGGTTCGGGCACAATGCATGAGGGGACACGGACTCTCCTCCTGACTGATTACTATCTGAACTTAAGTCTGGGAGAGATAATCTTTCTCATCCAGATTTACAGCTGCTCCAAAATGTGAATGTCATTTGTAATACTAGATCTAGATCTAATATATCAAAGCAGCGCCAAAGATTTGAAATGTTACTGGAGAGTAACATACAAATATAAAAAGGAGGGTGAGATCGAGATAAAGACAATAGATGTTTGACAGGAAGGAAGGAGCAAACTACACCAGAGCACCCACCAGCCGGGTAATATTGGGATAATTCATGACTCCAACAAAGGAATATAAGTATTCCTAAAATCCATTGACATGACACATTTAGAAAGCGGGCAGCTTAGACTTTCCAGGTCAGCATTAACCCGGATCGAGTGGTACACACCATTCCAGCAAAACATACGGCGAGTGGGACACACCATTCCAGCAAAACACACGGCGAGTAGGACACACCATTCCAGCAAAACACACGGCGAGTAGGACACACCATTCCAGCAAAACACATGGCGAGTGGGACACACCATTCCAGCAAAACACACGGCGAGTAGGACACACCATTCCAGCAAAACACACGGCGAGTGGGACACACCATTCCAGCAAAACACACGGCGAGTAGGACACACCATTCCAGCATTCCAGCAAAACACACGGCGAGTGGGACACACCATTCCAGCATTCCAGCAAAACACACGGCGAGTGGGACACACCATTCCAGCAGAAAAACCCCCCCACGGAAATACCAGTAAAATATAATTCTCCGCCCAGAATTGAACTCGCACCTTTCTTAAAAAGCAGCTAGACCATTACACAAGGGTTAAAGAACCGAAGCAAAACAGTACAGCAAAGGATGAGATACATTTCAATAAGTACGTACTACATTTAGTGCAATGTTGAATACTGCTAATTGAAAAAAAACCCCCTTAAAAAACTGCACACTTATCGAAGCTTTTGCCGCCCTCCCCCAAAGCATAAAATCTGTAATTATTTACCTCAAAATTATTCCGTCTAGTCTACTTCTTTGTCCACGTGTAATTGACGACACACTTACTCTTTATACGAATCTTTCGCTCAAATATGTTCCTCGTCTCCCCATTATAATACTCCCATGTGACAACACCTCTTTTTTAAATTGTAGATCTAGATCTAGATCTAGATGTTTTCTACGCCTCCATTGGCATAATTTAAAGAATTGAGAAAGCAGGCTTCCGACCGTGTCTTCCAGGGCCAACCCGGGCTGTGAGGGACACAACACCCCAGCAGAAAGACCAAAAGATACTCGACAAAAAAAATTCTCTCCACTACTGAAATCGAACTCGGCTCTCCTGGGTGCGACATAAAAACACCTTACCGCTACACCACAGACGCCCGTAGACAACACCTTGGGGCACACAATCTCACTTTAGTGATAAATAAGCGATCCGCTGCATCAATCTTTGGAGCCGACCCATCAATCAAAACTAAGCTTCCTGCATTTCAACAGCTCTGAGAATAACGTCCAAAAATCTGTCATTCCAAGTGAAAGCCCACGAAAGAAAAATCAGGCTTGTAAAGGTAAACATAATTTTCATAATTTTATCCATAAATTGACCATACATCATACCCTCATTAATTCAGATTTTGAAACTCCTGAAGTCTTAAGAAATGATAAGAAAATTGGATAAAGGTTGAAGCAACGTCTGAAAAGCATTCCTCTTTGAGGTGTTCTCCCGGCTCGTTTAGCTCGCACAAAGACTGCGACAGCTTGCCTTTGCATCTATTCTCAGCCGCACAAACTAAACTATACCATAAACGATCGCTCCTCATTCTTCTCTCTTTCCCATCGATTCCCTCGCCTCCCAGGCCTGGTGTTGAAATATCCTTGCACAGCTTTCATCGAGCACAACCACAGTTATGACTCAAATTGTTACCGACTCTTACCCTTCAATAATTATACTCACAAATGAAATTATCAGCTCGAGCCTATACCGAAAAAGACAAGAAAAAAACAACAACCACCCAACAATAATTATTAATCCTTTCCCCCGGCGCTCACATCGTTTCGCCCCCCCCCCCCCCCCGTACCCGCCCTGGCTTACTTTTCATCATGAGTTCTCGTAAATTTCATGAGAAGCCCTGTCCTGCCCCAGCCCATTCGCACGTGCGGCCTGAGTTTACACAAGGAACAGTTTCAGCAGCTTCACGTGATACATTACCTAAACATAGGCGTTGCTGGGGCTGAGGATATCAATTTCGACTTGAAATCACACGGCAATAGTCGACGGTAGCACTCATGGAGAGAGAGAAAGAGAGAGAGAGAGAGAGAGAGAGAGAGAGAGAGAGAGAGAGAA